CATGACCCAACCAGAGCCGGGGACAAACTGCAACTGAGATACGTGCCCTTAGCGGGAACTGAACCCGGGTCTCTCTAGACCGCAGACCGATGCTCTAACCTAACTGCTGAGCCAAACCGGCCAGGGTTCTATGCCTTTTTCTGATTCTTTGCATCTAGAAACTCATGTCCTTCAGCCTTAGATTTTACTTCTGATTATTCTGCTCCTTATTTCTGATCCTGTTACATGTATTGGAACTCTTATAGAAGTTTCTTTTCTTTGCTGTTATTCATCTCCTTTTTTATTCTACTTTTGTGGTGGGGAAATTCATCATCCAACCTTTATACTGACTTAAAATTTTGGCCTTTACTTTATGAGCACTTTATTGTTCTCAGATTATCCCTTTTTGTAGCTTCCTCTTCTTGCTTTGTGCTTTGTTCCTTGCATGACTCCTCAGAGTTCCTGTTTTATCTCCTTTAGCTGGTGCTTCTCACATGTCCAAATAGCCCTTCCTTGATTGCTCAGATTTGAGTGAGGCATTTTTATTTGTAACATTTTTTGAGTCACTTTTTAGAAGATTTTTAATGGACTTTTAGAGAGGAGGGGGAGAGGAAGAGAGAGGAACAGATGTGAAAGTGAAACATCAGTCAGCTGCGTCCTGGGCGCCTCATAATACCAGGGGTCAAGCCCAAAACCCAGGCAAGTGCCCCGACCAGGAATAGAACCAGTAACCTTTTGGGGCACAGGACAGTGCCCAACCGAGCCACATGGGCCAGGGCTTTGAGTCATTTTTTAAAAGCCAGTTGAGAGCTCTAGCAAGCTCATCAACTGGAGGTTAAATCCCCGGATCAGTACCTATGGCTGTTTTCTGTGGGAACGTGCAGTTTCTCTCATTTGCATGTGTATGGTGAAGGCTCAGCCCTTGGCATTCTGGGACCCAGGAGCCGGAAGCTTTAGTCATGAAGACTTAATCCCCATTTTGTTTGGCACCTTACCCCTGCCCTCTCCGTCAGACCCCAGGGTGGGGGCAAGCAGGTGGGAGTGGGAAAATCTGGGGAGGAGGGACCAAAATGTCTTTCATAACCTTTCATTTGGTTTTCACCCACACCCAACCTCTGCCTCATGGTTCCTGATTTTTAAAGGATTCTTTGGGGTGAATTAGCTTGCTTTTGTTGTCGCCCCATCCTGCCCTGGCCCCTAAACTTATCAGAGTAAAGTGAATTCTCAGTACTCTTTCCTCTGCTTTCATACTTTGTATGTTATAGTTTGGAATTAGCGAGGTCTTCTAGTTTTATCTAAAATGGAGTTTGTGTTTCTATATTTTCTCTTCATGATTTTTAAATGATCACAGAAGACCATGATTTAAAAACCAGTGAACCTTGATTACTCTTTGGCCTGTGAAGAGCCAGCTTTGTAGGAACGTGGTGTAGGGCCAGCTGCTTCCAAGAGATGGCTGCATCGGGCTGAGGTGCCCTAGGCCATGAGCAAGGTGTAGAACTTTTTTGCTTTCCTTTAAAGGCTTTGATAGTTGTCACCTTTTTTTTATTCTCACCAGAGGTCATTTTTGCATTTATCTTCAGATAGAGCAGAAGGGAGAGAGGGAGGAAGAGAAACATTGATGTGAGAGACACATCGAGTAGTTGCCACCTACTGGACCCCAAGCAGGGCCAGGGACAAACTACAACCAAGGTACATGCCCTTAGTGGGAACCGAACCCGGGACTCTGGTCCGCAGGCCGACGCTCTTAACTGCTGAACCACACCAGCCAGGGCAGTTGTTACCTTTATAAAACCGGTTTCTTTTTGGTTTTTATCATGGTCGCTCTCTCCTATTAGTAACTGTATTCCTGCTGACCAGATCCTTCCATTTATTGACGTTTTTCACTTCCGGGTTCCATGTCACATCCCTTCCACCCCAGCCATCAATTTAGGTGACGGTAACATGTACCCTAGAGTAGTTCACCAGGAGCTTCGCCTGTTTCTCACTGTGCACTGTTTTCTGGGACCCACTCACTCCGTTTCAGCTCCTTTCCCATAGCTACATCCCAGCCTACTTTCCGTTCTGGGTTTGGTCCTTTAAAGTGAGGCTGTCCCACTGACAGGCCTCAACCCTTTTGACTTTTCTCTTCCTGCTAAACTGGTCTATCCTTTGAGTACCTCAACACTATCCTTTTGTTCTACCTATCCAGAAAAACACCAACGTTGGATGAAATGATTCACTTTCTGTGCTTGTGTCATTAATCGCTGACTTAACAGCTAGATTACTTCTCTTATGAGAGGCACTCTATCTTATTCATTGTACTTAATTCCAGTACTTGGCATGTATAAATATCTTATTGAATGCCAAACAGTGCTTCATAGGAGTGCTGACTATACTGTAGATGGAAGGCACTTGGCAAAGCATGGAAGATAACCAGGAAAGGTTAAGGGCTATGATGGGTGAGTCCTGTTAGCATGAGCACACAGGAGGGGCACTGGTCTTTACTCTAGGAGGAGCAGAGAAAGCATATGTTTGGATTACTTTTGATTATCACCTGAATTCCTTATGCATGATCTCAAATTATGCAATTATTTTTTACAGGCAACAAACAGACATTTTCCACAAACTGTTACAGGGGCATATTTGAGCGGTGTTCGAGAAGCAAGCAAGATTGCAGCATTTTAAGTATAAGTTGTCTAAACCCAGCTTTCTTCTGTACCCTAAGTGGGAAGGTTTGAAACATGTTAACCTCACTTTCATAAAATCAAACAACAAAACCGGATGACAAAATTGAAATGTTTCTAAGGTGGTTTGATGATGTAAACCCATCATCACTCTGAAAGCATTAGCCCTAAGAGCCAATTTATAAGCACTTATATTTAATTGCATTTCCCACAAGTCTAGTGCTAAATCTTCTGGATTTCAGAATAAAGTAGAATATAACCTTAAATTAAGACGTTGGATATGATTCTTCCATGGTTGGAGATTCCCTTAAATTTTGACTTTGTTTAGCTGATCAATTTTCACACACTGAAAATCGAAGCCAATCAAGCAGAAATCGTAAAAAAAGAGCCATGTTATTTTCCTTCTGTGACAGTTTATCACTATCTTTGCCAATGAGCCTTAAGATTTTTGTATAGCACCAATATTGAGCTTTTACCTAAAATTTAGATAGAAATCTTTCCTTTTTGGATATAGCACAAACTCTTTAGTCAAAAGTAAATGAAGCTTCTAGACTATTTTCTATTATACTTCCCATTGGGTTTTCCAAAAGAAATTTAAATTCAGGTATCTTTTATGATAAAACATTTTGAATTTGTGTACTCATTGGCAAAAGAGCAAAATTTTTAGTTCTCAAAACAGTACAGGTTTGTATCATTGAAGATGGGGTAGAGATAGTGTGGTCTTCATATTGTGGACACAGACTATAGGGCTATTTTTCTTTGAGCCATTTGGGCAGATGGCACACTTTAAATAGCCTTAATTTGGGCAACTACTAGCAAAAATATCTTGTCAGAATAATTTAATAAAAGCCTCTTTTTTACAGAATTGTGTTTTCAGTATTCCATAGGCAGGCCCACTGGAAAACTGTAGAAAAATGTGATGATATCCTGGCAAGTATTACATATTTTATAAGCCATATTGTAAAAGCCTGAGAACATGGCAAATACTTCCTTTTTCCTTTTTTCACTCATGACCAAAAAATGTCATTTAAAGTAGACATTGGTTTCAGGGTCTTCAGGATGCTCATCTTGCCAGGAAATTTGTTTACAGGTAAAAACATGGATAACTTAAGTTCTTTTGTTTTAAAGTCTGAACAAGTTTTTCAGTTATATTGGTCTGCTTTAAAAGACTCAAATACAAGGGGGATGCAAAATGACTTTAAAGCCATTTTTCAAAATATTAGGTATTTTTAAAATTTAGTCAGCTCATAAATACAAAGTATCATATGCAAAGAATGTTTGGTGAACTTAGACATACCTCCCTCCCCATCAAAGTGTGGTACACATGAAAAAAGAGTATATTAGTTTCAGTGTTAACACAGGGAAATGTTGATATTTTGCTTATCTGATGAGAATTACTGGTACTAATTGGGGAGTGTTCTGCTTTAAAGTGTTATGTATTAAAACGTTTAAAGAATAGCATGTGTTAAGTGATAAATGCAAAATATTTTACGTTTGAAATGGTTCACAGTAAATTATTGTCTCTGGGCACTTGTGCTACAAACAGAGGAAAAACCTACTTAATAAAGTACGATAAATGTGTATTGAAAAAAAAACACCTCATTTTTTTGTCTCAAGTGTCTACATCTGACATTTTGTTCTTTAAGGAACCACTGTACTTTTCCTTTAAATCTTGAGTTACTTTGAAGATGTTATGATTGTCCTGAAGATTTTGTAATTGAGTAGCTGTGAATATATGTTTTGACTGCAGATTGTGAACAGCTGGTTGTGTAAAACAGCTTAATAAAAACTACTTGTTTTTCAAATACTCTGCATTGCAGTGATGAAAATACACTTACTAAATAGTTATATCTTCCATCACAAACTTGCACACCCATCAACTCAATCCCTTCACCTCCGAACCCTCTTTAGACCTTTTAGGTCATAGACATTACTCTGTGTCCCCTTTCAATTAAATGGGTCATAAAGTAAACAGTTGTTGACCATGATCAACCTAGTTTTGTGAATCACTTCTAGTTTTGCCTGGCAATTTCTTTGCAGTGTACTTACTCAAAGTGAAAGTAGTCATCGCTGAAGAACATTCTAAATTATATAGGCTATAATTTAAGTGATACATGCCAAATAGTTTATGTTTGAAACGGTTCACAGTAAATTTTTACTTTACTCTGTATGTGCTTAAAACCTATGCTACAAACAAAGGAAAAGTACAGTAAACGTATGTATTTTAAAAATATCCTCATTACTTGTCTCAAGGGCTAAATACATTTAAAAACCCATGATCTGAAATCCTCATCGAGAAGGGAAATGCTATAAAGTTCTCCAAGACAAGACATCAAATGCAAGAGACAAAGGCACTGTTTATTACTTTTATTGACAAAGTTTATAGGAACAAATTAAATATTTAAAACCAAAGGACAATTTGTAGCTCTCATATAGTTTATCCCATTGGTTTAAGTGTACCTTTTTCTAATGTCTTAACTTGATCAAGAAATAGGTCAAAACTGTGAAAATACCTGTTAACTAACAGTCAACATTTTTACATATTTCTGTTCTATGATGCAAATATATTTTTATTTTAAACACTCAATTGGTTTATCAAAGGCCTAATTCTCTCATAAGCAGCATGTTTTAAATTCAGAGGTTATTTAATAAACTGATTAAGACCATCCATTTAAAAGACAAATTCGTTTCATTCAGGGGTGGTCCATATGTTGAATCACCTAGAATCCTGATTAGTCAAAATTTAAAACCCAACAGCCTCTAATTCCACAAATACATTAAATTTCTTTAATGTTAAAAATAAGTCTTATCATTTTTGAGAAATACTTTGTCAGAGATACCCAATACTGCCTACATTATCTTCTTCTGGCACTACACCTAGTACTTTTTGTCCTAATTGTAAAGGTCCAGGTTTCCTGTAAATACCAGTATTTTATATGGGCAAAAGCAGTTAATAAAAATCAGTCATTTATTATAAGCCAAATGTTCTTGTACATAATCCCACTCTTCCCTAAATTTTTAAAGTTCTGATGTGTTGACTTTGGCCTGTCCTTAATATAAAATGTATCCATAGACAATGGCTGCTGAGTTGACACTAAAACTACAAACTGATGACACTTTCAAGGCAAAGCAGAGAACTATCTGTCCGTGTCCTTCAGTGTTTTCTTCACTGAATTCTGACTTTCACTGCTCTGTGATACCATCTGGCTGAACACTGACATTTCAGTTTATAACTGTAAAGATACCTACCTATATGGGTTTAAAAATCGATCTGCACAAAAGAAATAAAAAAAACTTTATATACAACAAATATGTTTTTGAAAATACAAAAATAACATCTGTCACTTTTGTCATGCTGACAAACTGACATATCTATACATGCAGGAGAAAAGTTCCAATGTAGTCATCTGGACAGCTGAAGCTTGTATATTCTTAACATGATGAACACACTGCCGCTGAGTTTTTACAATGACAGATGTGTTGTATTCAAAATAACGCATATACTAAACACTGCACTGGTCTCTGCATGTATAAATGCCAGTTTATAATAGTTTCTGTTCTACCCAATTAAAAGTATGTCTTAAACAAGCTAATTAACTGCACTAAAAACTACAACAGTTCAAGAATCTATGATCTTATATAAAGAAACCCAAAATGTACAAAATACAACTATAAAAGCAAGGAACAATTACTGCCATGCAAAATTTTAAACTAAAAACTGCATAGAAATGCAATTTAAAATGGCAAACTCAAATTCACGTTAACACTCAAGATAAAAAAGTCAGCAATAAATTCTACAACACAATGCTTGCAAGGATTTAGAAAAGGAAATACATTCTTTGCTGGTATAATGGTATAAATCAGATCTTTAGATCCATGGAACAAGTCAGCTGTCTCTGTCCTCTATCTCAAGAAATTAGCTGTAATGAAAAAAGAAACATTACTTTCCCATACCCAACATACAGTATATTAGGTACACATAAGCCATAAAATCTTATTTCACATTTAAACTTTATTTTACTATTGCGACATTGGGAAATCAGTTGGGATCAACATAAACTATAGCTACTGTTGATTTTCTCCTGCCTTTGACTGGTGGACAGAAACGTGCTCAAGTAGTGGTGTGAGTGCCTCTGAGATGCCCAGTAGACTGGGAGTCAGCATCTCTCCCTCATCTGAGATCAGGTTTTGTCAGTAATGTGGCAGGCTTTATTTTTAACCTCTAAAATGGAAATATCTTCCCCCATCTATTTTGAGGAAATGTGAGGATCAAATGTGATATTTATTCACATAGTTTGAAAAATATGCAAAATGTGAGAAACATTTCTTTTATCTCATGTCCAAAATGATCAAAATTAGAAACAGTGGCTATATTTACCTCTTTAACAGTTGTTTTTATGAAACCTTTTCTTTCAGTTAAATCATAAGCAGGATAATTTTCATATACCTGTGGTGAAAGGAAAAACTATGTTAAAAATAGTTTTAAAAATCCAATAATGCTCTATCTTTAAATAGAAATGTATGTCATGTACAAACAGCTGCATGTATGTTCTAACAGTACAGTAGTTCACTATAGAGAATTTCATTGCAAATGAGTAGTTTTAACACATTTTTGACCGCTCACGAGTTAACTCGTGTTTTCCTGCCCAAACATTGCGGACTGTGCACGGGTTAACTAGGGTTTGCACCTGCATTCGCTATTTCAGTTTTTGAAACTCAGGGTAATATAGGATTATTGTATTTGTTACTCTTTGCCCTGAGGGTTGAAGTTCGAAAAACAGCACACAGTTCTATATTCTTGAAGTAGGTAGGGAATGGATATCTGCTGGTTCAAATGAGTACAGCTCAGAACTTAACGTGCAGTTTGCCCAGAAACGTGCGGTCCCTGGCGTGTGTCTTAGAGATTTCTATGCGGTACGCAATGTGTTAATAATACTATATGTAGAGCAGAAAATAAATTAGCATGCAAAAATTCTCAGTATTGCCTGGCTTAGGGTGGCTCAGTGGATTGAGTGTCATCCCATGGACTGAGAGGTCCCGGTTCGGTTCCTGGTCAAGGCACATGCCCAGGTTTCAGGCTTGATCCCTGGTGGGGGACATGCAGGAGGAGGCAGCTGATTGATGTTTCTCTCTCTCATCAATGTTTCTATCTCTCTCTCTAAAAAAAAAAAATATATATATATATTTAAAAAAAACACCAAGAAATTAAAAAATAAAAAATTATCCATTTTAAACTGGGAATATCAGTTGACTTAAACATGGGTGAGGAAAACACCTAGATAGATCTTAACTAAGGTTATCTGTCATACTTTTTAGAGATACTCTCATTTTCTTGTTCTATCATCCCACTACTTATAATTCAACCAACTCCAGTGTACTTTACCTCACCCTCCACTCATTGCTTAATCCCCTCTCCTCAGTTGAATCACTCAGACCCAGCTGGTCTCAGGAGTCCTCTACTCCTAAAATCTTACTCTAATTTCCCTCTCTTGTATCAACTTGATACCTGCTGCTTGACTTCACAGTGACTTCTAGTCCTGACTCCATTATGCACCCTGCCAGTTTCACTCTTGTGTAGTTTAAGGTCAGTACATTTTTTTCTAAAGGACCAGATCAGTATGTGGTTTCAACATTTCCAGCGACACATTTTCTGTCACATAAACTTTGTCACTGTAGTGTGAAAGCTGCCATAGACAGTACTTAAATGAATGGGTATGGCTGAGTTACAATACAAAAACAGTAAGGTGGATTTGGCTCACAAGCTACAGTTTGCCAATCCTTATAAATATAGTCAATTATTTACATTACTCTAATTGTTTGTCTCCTTTTCATTCTCTACAAAACTCCAAGCCTCAACTGGTCTAACTACTAACTCTTCTGTGGTTAGGCTGAGAGGAGAGATTGCTGTGGGTAAAATGTAACAACTTGGAAAAGACAAATCCTGTTTTAAGTCCTTGCTATTCAATGTCAGAGCCTCCCCAGCAATCCCAAGTATGTCTAAAGTAGGTCCTTTCATTCCTGTCAGAAGCTTTAATTTGCTTATAAAACCATTCAAAGGGACAGAACTAGTTTCCCTTTACTCTGCCCTCATCCCTCTCCCCTCAGAGGAAACCAGTATTCTTCCAGACCTTCCTTCAAAAAAAATGAGTTTATACACAAATGTATAAATCTATCAATGGCAATATAACTTTTATGAATTTACATAAATGGGGTAATATTCCATGTTTTAAAATCTTGACAATACCTGGAAAGTCTTTCCATGTTCCTTTCAACTGCTACATAGTATTCAAAAAATATAGGTGTGGTTACCAGTTTATTTATTTATTTATTTATTTTTATCCTCCTCCAAGGACATCTTTTCGGTATTTTGTTCAGGTAGAACGAGAGGTAGGGAGAGAAACACCGACGTGAAAGGGACACATCAAGTGGCTGCCACCCGCACGACCAACCAGGGCCAGGAACAAACCGTAACCGAGGTACGTGCCCCCAGTGGGAACTGAACCCGAGTCTCTCTGGACCATAGGCTGACGCTCTAATCGCTGAGACAAACCAGCCAGGGCATGGTTACCAGTTTAATCATTTCCCTATCGAAGGGTATTTAGGTGGTTTCTGGTTTTTTCAATATTAAGACATGCTGAACATTATTGTAATCATTTTGTACGGATGTGACTATGTCTTTAGGATAGAGACCTAGAAATGGAATTGCTAGGTTAAAGGGTATTTGCAATTTAAATTTTAAGATATTACCTAATTGTTCTCCAAAGCTGTTACATCTTTTTGTTTCCCCCCTAAAATATCCTCGGGTAAGAATTAACAACAAAAAATGATTCATTTATTTATTTATTTTTTGGTATGTGCCTCTAGTGGGAACTGAACCTGGGACTCTCTGGTTCGCAGGCCAACGCTCCAACTGCTGAGCCAAACTGGCCAGGGCCAAGCTGTTATATCTTAAAGCATGAGGATATCTCCCTATATCCTTGCCAACTATAAAAACTATTATTCCTCATAAATTTTGTCACACTAATAAGCAAATATATTCCAATTTCTATCTTCCTCGTTAGTGTAGGGAACATTAAGCATGTTTTCATTTGTTTAAAGGCCATGTTTGTTTTTTTCTGTGAAGTAACTACCTTTCCATAGCCACTGCCCCCTATAAGTCGATTCCTTTTCTTAGCTGGCACTACTCCCCACCCTTGAACATGTTTCCTCTTGGCTTCCATAGCACCTCTCTGGTCTTCCCTCTACTACTGCCTCAACAATTTCTTATATTCTGTAGAAATTACATCTCAACTCTTTGATGGTAATGGTCTCCAGGACTCTGCCCTTTGCTTTTCTCACCCTTTATCTTCTTCTGTGGGACATCCTATCTTTATTTCTGGTTTTAACTTCATGTAATATTTTAGTCTAGGTTTCTCTAACTTGGAGAATTACAATGTTCAGAACTTTTCCCATTTTGATGTTCCAAGCACCCCATCTCAAAATGTTTAGAACTCATCTTTTCCTCAAAAAGTATCCCTTATGTTCTGCATCCAAGCCCTTACACCACCTTTGATCAGGCTCTCTAGATTTCTGACTTGGATTATGGCAACCCTGTAACTTTGACTATGTCATGAACTGGGTTTCTTTTGTCTCATTTCACTCTTCACCGGTCTGTCCTTGATGTGTCTAGGATGACAAACAAAAACTTGATTGGGTCACGCCCCTGCCAAATAGCTCTCAATAACCTACCCAACCTCCTAATTCCCCATTAGTTTCAGGAAGAAAACCAAACTCTGTAAACATGACACACTTAAGAACTGGAAAACTCTTAGTTTTCAGCCAAGTTAAACTAGTTACTATTCCTTGCAGTCATTATTTGTCATATTTTGTGAATGTGTCAGTGTTCCTCAATTATATGGAACAGCTAATGAAATGCTCTAAGATCTCTTTCAAGTTGCTTTTCTAGATTTCTACACCCCCAATCTCAAGTTGGACAGAGCTATAGTAGCATCTTCTGCGCTCTTCCAACACAGCCCTCACACATTTGTACTGTAATTACTAAAACAGTTGTCTTTCAATTCCACTGGACTGTAAGCCCCCTAAAGTGAAGTAACAGTTTCTCCAGCTCTACCTCTTACATCTATCCCAGGGCCTAATATGTAGTAGAGACTCAGTGTGCTGAGAATAAATAAAAACATGATAAATGTCTTTAAAAAGTATAGAATATATCACCTTTGATATTTCAAATTTTAATTTCATTTTACCATAAGAAACTAGATTCTAAAATCTCCCAATATTAAGGTAGGGTATGGAATCATATTCAAGACTAGATAATTTTATTTCCTGAAAAGTATCAGAGTATCACAGAAGTCTGAGCTAAATAATGAATCTATAACAACCATAGTAACACTGAAAATGAGGTAGTCCATGAGATTTTGCTTTATAAAACTAACAACCTAAGGATACATCAATAAAATGTTTCCAGATCAGGAGAAGGGTTTCCTATGCAGTTTGGAAGGTAGCACTTTATTCACTGTATACATTCTACTGTTTTTATGAAATAACTTCAAAGGGCAGAGGCTCTGACTTATTTGATTTAATATGGTTATCCCAGCACCTGTAACAGAGTACCTGGCATGTTGAATTAGTATGTGTTCAATGAATGAATGCATACAAAAAGCTGGCTTCAAACTGAGGGATGGGTAAAAGAATTTTTCAAATAAAAGCAAAGTGATCTAAGCATCTGTCCAATTACCTTTTTGCAAATCTGCTTCATTGTAACTTCCTCCAAGTTAGCACTGGCCAATAATTTCTTTACTGTTTCCTTTAACTCTTCATCTGTAGGAGGTTTCTTCAACTTTTTAATTAAAGGTTCATCATCTGAACTATCCTCAGATTCACTTTCTAAAAATAAGATATTTTATTAATTTGAATACATTTTTTTCTTACATAGTAAATTAGTATTCAAGATAGAGAAAAATTCTGTAAGCAGTCATCAGATTCTCAAAGGGGTGTTAGATTTAAAAAATTATAAATCACCACTCTATAAATCATCTAGAAAACATACATTGAAAATTTTGTCAATTTTAAAAAATTACAAACTATAATAAACTAATACACTTACTGCTTTCTCCACAATGTTGTTCTCAGTTTACCTATTTTCTGTGTTATAGCATATATGTTGTATCTTTCATGTTGCTGAAAATATATCATTTCTAACATACCTTTTTTGGAACTGTTTTGATTCTTCTTGGTGGTGCTGCTATCCGCCTTTTTCACATTAGCATTCTTTACAGCTTTTTTACTTTTAGAAGTAGCTTTCTGTTTAGGTTTTTCTCTTTTAGATGTCTTTTTTGGTGGCTGTTGCAAAGGAAAACAAAATATATACATTGATGAGATTAACTATTATCTCTCTACTCCTCTTTACCCCTCAACAATATTAGAGAAAATTAATATATTCAATATCACCAATAAAAAAGTATTACTAATTATCAATTTTTGAGATAACTAATATACCCAATAAATTTAATTTTATGCAAACACAAGACTAGTCATATGAAGCCAAGAACAAAACACTAAAAATAATAGATGCCCACATTTATTCCATGCTATCCGATAGAAAACTTTATATGCATTACCTCACATGATCTTGAAAAACTCTAATACAGGTACTATTAAAATGCTGTTATTTACGGTCAGTCTCTCTCAACTCGTATGTAAATTCCATAAGGACAGGGATTTTTTTTTTTTAACATCATGTTCATTGATGTATCCTTTCTTCCTAAAATAGGGCTTGGTGCACAGTAGTTGCTCAACAACTATTTATGAATATATGAGGAAACTAAAGCTCCGAGAGGTTATTTTTGTCCATAGCCACACAACTAATAAATTGAGATTCAAATAGATTTGACTCCAGAACCTGTTTTCTTAAATACTAACTCACAACTGATAAGACAAAAAGCAAAGAATATACATATGGATAGATTAAAATTACAATACTGGTTTAGTTACTTTGTCTCAACCAAGATCTATGAAGTTAGAAAACATTAATCCTTCATTTAATTAACATTTCCAAAGGTAAAAGTATTCTATATAAGCAAATATCCCAAGATAACTTAAAATCTGAACTTTATATACCCAAAATACTGCAAATCACTTTTGATAGAATGTTTCTCCTAATGTTTTACACTCAATTTCTATCATCACAATTCAACCCCCCTTTTGTTTAAGGACAGAAACATGTGTAGAATTTATCCTTAAGAAAAATTAAAGTGTATAGAACAATCTGTTCCAAAAATTATGTGGGGTCAGGCAATTTCTAAGTGCAGTTCACTGGATATTAGTGTTTGTCTTCACTCTTGCTCCACTGCCATTACTGTACATATTTGCTTAAGCAAACCTAGTATCACCCTGAATTACCTAAATAACACTGTCAGCTGGGAACTAGCTAATCTATCTAGTTTAACCGCTACTAAAAAATGCACTTAAGCCCTGGCTGGTTTGGCTCAGCGGTTAAGAGCATCGGCCTGCGGTCCAGAGAGACCCTGGTTCGTTTCCCGCTAAGGGCACGTACTTCTGTTGCAGTTTGTTCCCGGCTTCGGTTGGATTGTGCGGGTGGCAACCACTCAATGTGTCCCTTTCACATGGATGTCTCTCTCTGTCTCTCTCCCTCCCTCCCACTCTATCTGAAAAATGGAAAAGTGTCCTCGAGGATAAAAAAATAAATAAATGCTCTTAAGAGGTGTCAAGAGACTAGTATACTTCTAAAACTGAAGTATATAAGCTTTACTATGGATTTTTGCCATTTAGAGGCTATTTTTACTTATTTCTAAATTCTCAGAGATGTTCCAGATAGTGAGAGTTGCCGGAAAGGCATCAATGGTTCATCACAGTTTTCTATGATTAACTTAAACTAAGTTTTAAGTTTATTAAGCATCCACCTAATTCACAAGAACCACACTAGGGTCTGAAAGGGAATACTAAAAATTCATAAATTCTGTTGATGCACTGAATATATAGAATAAAATCATCACTATTAAATATTACTCTTTAGTAAAAGGGTAATAAAATCTGGACCTGTAAGACATTCAACTATTTTACAAGAAACTAAATTATTGCAGAAAGGGTTGGAGAAGTTGAGCAAGGGGTAACAATGTTATAAACATTATTACTTAATCCTCATTCAAATTAGATCATTAGAATCAGATCATTAAAATATTTCCAGAGCCTTTTAAGGCCAGAGTATAAGGAAGGGTATCATTAACATTTTAAAAGGCACATACAACATGGTACCATTTTAAAGCCTGCAAGCTGGGAGTAGTTTGAAATTTGCAGTGATAAAGGAAAATCAAGCCATCTCCATAAAATATTACTGTGGCACAAACACATAATTGAAACTATGCTTCTTTCTATATTTAACATCACCATCTCTAAGGAACAGTATTCTACAGTGTTTTAAATGGACAATTAGTCTATTCCTATTAACAAAAAGACTGCAAAAATACTGTTATAAGCACTATAAAGAATAATAGATGAGAGTGTGGGCTCTGGGTGCAAGCTTCCTTGTTTCAAATTTGAGCCCCAGCACATCTCCGGGTCCTACTTTCCTCATTTACAAAACAAGGGAAATAGTAATAATTATGGTTTTATGGACAGTAAATGTATTAATACTTAAAAGAACTTTTGCCCTGGCCAGTTTTGCTCAGTGGTTAGAGCATCAGCCCACGGACCAAAGAGCCGCGGGTTTGATTCTGGTCAAGGGCACATACCTCGGTTGAGGGTGGGGCCCGGGCCCTGGCCCTGGCCCTGGCCCTGGTCCGGGTTGTGTGGGAGGCAACCAGTAGATCTCTCTCACATCAATGTTTCTCTCTCTCGCTCTCCTTCCCTCCTGCTCTACCTGAGATAAATAGAAAAATATCCTTGGGTGAGGATTTAAAAAAAACACAAAAAACTTTTAATGGTGCTCAACACATAGAAAACATTTAATATTAACTATTACTATAAGTGCTTCCTTTTGTAAAAAAATTCTTTCATTATGCAAATGTAGTTTCCTCCAATAACTTGAAGTTTATGTTTTCTTTAAAAGCAAAGCAGATATATAGAATAGTACATAGAATAAAAAACAGACTCAATGACACTTGTGTTAACTAACCAAGATACAACATATTTATTTCATTACATTCTGATAGATACGACTGGACCCACCAACATCTGAATCCCTGTTATAACAAATTGTTAGCCCTGGCTGGTTTGGCTCAGTGGTTAGAGCATCGGCCCGTGGTCCAGAGAGACCCGGGTTCAGTTACCGCTAAGGGCACATACCTCGGTTGCAGTTTGTCCCTTGGCCCTGGCTGGGTCATGCGAGTAGCAATCACTCGATGTGTCCCTTTCACGTCGATGTTTCTCTCTTTCTCTCCCTCCCACTCTATCTGAACAAAAAATGGAAAAATGTCCTCAGGTGAGTATAAAAAACAAAAACAAGTTATTTTTTATTCCTCACCCAAGAATACTTTTCTATTTATCATCAGATAGAGTGGGAGGGAGGGAGAGGGAGAGGGAGATAGAGAGAAACATCGATGTGACAGAGCCACAACTAACCGGTTGCCTTCTGCATGACCCAACCAGGGCTGGGGACAAACCGAAAATGAGGTACATGCCCTTGACTGGAATCAAACCCAAGACTCATTGGTCCGCAGACCGATGCTCTAATGACTGTGCCAAACTGGCCAGGGCAACAAATCATTATTTACACTGAATTTCAGTTATAAATTATTCTGTGACAAATTAAAGGTATGAATTCATTATCCTTTTTAGACAGATAAATGTTGGCATGGAAAACAGTAAAAGCTACAGAGTAAAATAACTAAATTATGTAGATATGTGTACCTAAAGGTTTCATCTTGAGCATAGAGACAATCAAATAACTATCTCACATTGTGATTGTGTGCTTTGATCTTGCAGGTGTTAAAAAAAAATCACACCAGATGCCCTGAAGATAAGTTATTAGGTTTAGGAGGTATAGGTAACTATTGAGAATTTTGACAGGTAAGGCAAACATGGGTAATCTGAAATTTTGGAGGTAATGGAAAGAGGCCCTGGGAGAGCTGAGAAGGAAAGTTAAACCATGCCCACTTAAAATTTGCATGAACTTTCAAATCTTCACTACTTTCATTTTTCCTCCTATACTCGAAAATCTCATTCATGGTTCAAATCCAACTTAACAATCAATCACTTCCCTAAATCTTTCAAACACCACCAATTTGATTAATCCATAGTCCCACAGTACTTGGCCTATAATTCATTTATACCTACTTTATGGAAGGATAGTGAAACAATGAATAAGAATACAGGTTTTAGAGCCAAAACTCCTGGTTCAAGTACTGACTCTACCACTGACTAATTCTTCATTCTCAGGCAAATCACCATTCCCTGTGCCTGTTTCCTCATCTATAAAACGAAGGTAATACCAGACTAGGCTACACTTAACATCCTTTTTTCACATTTTTTATCTCTGATATCAGGGTACATCTTACATTAAAATGATGCCTTATAAGCAATGTAGATTTGATGAATTTTTTGTGAGAATTAAATACATAAATACATATAAAGCAATAGAGAAAATATTTAATGTACACATTTTTATTAAAATATAGTTATTTACATAGTTTTCCTAAATTACAAATTACTGAAAAAAAATTTTTTTCTTTATTGATTTTAGAGAGAGCAGAAGGGAGAGGGAGAGAGAGAAACATCGATGAGAGAGAATATCGACTGGCCGCCTCCTGCATTCCCCCCACTGGAGATCAGGCCCACAATCTGGGCATGTGTCCTGACCGGGACTCAAACCGGTGACGTCTTGATGTATGGGTCAATGCTCAACCACTGAACCATATCAGCCAGGCTACATTACAAATTTCTTAAGGGCTGATCTGACAATCTCCTTGAAAACAGACACCCGACTATCTAGTCCTATCCATCTCCAGCAACCACAAGAATGTTTGGCATAAAGCAGCCACTTAAAAATTTCTTGTCATGTTCACTTCTGTATCATCTGTAGGATCTAAGTTGACTCTGAACCCAGGATGTGGTTAAAATATGATTAAAAGGGAAAAAAATGCATTTCTATAGCACTGCATTCAGAACAACTATCTTATACGCTTAAAAAATCCAAAGACAAAACAAATTGTTTCTCATTATAAGTGAGCCAATGCCTTAGACCTAGTAAAAACCAAGACCTCTGATTAAGTCCAGTGTACCTCCTACTATAATGAGTTGCTTATAGAAATGACTAACCTACCTATATATTTCTTGAAGCCAGAGTTGAAATTACTAAATTATAGAATAAGCTAGTGATACCATAG